TGGCCGCCTGTATTCTTATTGCAGAAGATTTTGAAAATGTTAAGAAGTTTCCTGCATTTGTTGTGGATGTATTGAACGTGTGTATTCCAAGAGAGATTAGCAGTGATAAAAATGCCAAGAGTTTTTATTTTGTTCACCTCGGGGATGATCTGGCCTTGGAGAGAAATGCCCTGGTTGTTATGGATGTTGATAGGGATGCGGAGAATAGCACATTTTTGTGGTTGAAACCTGATATCGTTGATGCTGGCCCAATTCTCAAGGGAGTGGATGAAGTGGGCAGTGCTATGTCGTAAATTGGTGGGATTGTTCTCGTGAATGATGACAGTGATGTCGTCGGCGTAGACGTAGAGAAGTGTGTGATTGTTTTCGAGTTTAAAAATATCGCTCATAAAGAGAGCAAAAAGGAATGGCGAGACAACGCTGCCTTGAGGAATACCTCTGCATTGGGTGAGTTCTGAAGAGGTATGACCTCTCCATTTGACCATAACCTGTCTGTTATGTAAGAAATTATTTAACCAAATGAGGGAGTTGCCTTTGAGACCTTTGGCAATCGCTTTGCAGAGGATGTGGTGATGTTTGACAGAGTCGAAGGCTTTGTGTATGTCGAGGGTGAGGATGTTGAGGAATTGGCTTCTATGACGTAGAGTGTAAATCTGGATCATCATGTGGGTGAGGAGGTCTCTTGTCCCCTTGCCCGGGAGACCACCAAAGTGTTTATAGTTAAACCATTGTTGTTGATGGGCAAGGTTATGCCAACGTTTGATGATCATGCGTTCGAAGGTTTTAGAGATTGTTGATGTCAAGGCAATCGGGCGATAATTGGCGACGTTCGTCGTGTCTTTACCTGGTTTGCCTATGGGGATGATGATTGTTTTGTTCATTTGGTAGGGGATGGAGCCTGTTGTCCAGATGTTATTGTAGATGCTGAGTAAATGGCGTTTGGCCCGGTTGTTGAAAGCTTTGAGATTCTTCATGGTGATGCCATCTAAATCAGGGGATGTGTTCCTCCCTTTTTTAAGGCGCAGTTGAGTTCGCGTTCGGTGTTTGGACTGTTGAAAGCATCTATAGGATGTCTGTGTTGGTGGGAGTGCGAATTTGTATAGGTTGCATCTGAGTTTATGGGTTAAAGTAATGGTTGAAAATTCGGCTTGATGGTTAGGGTCGGTGATATACTGTTCGTCTTGTTTGATAATGAGACGATGATTTTGGGGATTGTCTTTTGTGCGTAGAAGGTGAATAATTTTCCATAAATTATTCTTGTAGTTTGGGGAAGTAGAAAGATTCTTTCAGAAAGTGCGTTTTGAGCAAGGATTGTGTGTTGTAGATCTGCTGTCGCTTCTTTGGCACGTATCCAGTTTTCGCGGTTAGTATGTCTGTGGAAGCGGTGGAATGCTTGTNGTCACCCCTTATCCTTACACAAAGTTTACAGCATGTAACCATGCTTTCCATGAGGTGATCAACCACTCCAGAGTCAAATAAGTGCCATTCCTCCTGTAGAGTAGTTTGCAACTCTGTGAGAGTGGCAGGGGGGAAACATGCACACACAGCACGGCCAAGGGCCTCCCAAAGATTCTCAATGGGATTGAGGTCTGGCGAATACACCGGCCAATCCATATGCACGATTCCCTCACTCTCGAGGTAGTCATCGACGAGGGCAGCTCTATGGGGTCATGCGTTATCATCCATTATAACAAAAGCAGGATCAACTGCTGCAGCATACAATTTCACAATGGGTTCGAGGACTTCATCCTGATACCGGACAGCTATCACAGGTCGATACCGGACACCATCCCCTAGATAGATGTGCAGGTTGGTGCGATATCCCAACGAAATGCCTGCCCACACCATAATGCTTCCACCATAATGATATCCACCTCGGAATGTGTGATGCTTGATAATGTTCTGGGGTCGATTGCCTGTGCCTTTTTCTCTCCATACTCTTACATGTTTGTCATCTGGCTCCAGGGAAAATTGCAACTCATCAGTGAACATAATGTTGCCCCAATCAGACACAGTCCAATTCACATGTTGCCGATACCACTTTAATTGTGTGCCTCTGGATTGGACAGATAGTAGAACACAAACTCATGGTACTCAGGTGTACAGTCCGTTCATGTGTAGCCTTCAGCACACAGTAGTAGCAGATATCGTTTTACCAATGGCTGCTGCAACCATTGATGTCACATGTGTAGAGGTTGCTCTTTGATTCCGCTTGGCTACAACAGCAATATAGAGATCTTCTGCAGGGGTCATAACGATTGGACAACTGGCCACAGGTCTTCGGACAACTGTTTGGCTTGTTTGGTATTGTTTCCATAACCATAAAATGACGGAATGATGAACACTGAAGAAAAGAGCAACATCTGTGGTTGATTGTCCTGCTTCAAGGCGTCCCACACACTTCCAGCTCTCACTGTTTGTCATTTGTCTTCTGGAAATCATAGAAACACGTCAGTCATGCACACTAATTGTACTACAGTTCTCCGCACTTTTTCTTGGCACTTACATGCAACTCCTCTCACTTCAGAAGACTGGCTTCTTATATAACTGCCTGTTTTGCATATTTTGTGACACGTAACCATGACTGATAGTAACGTAACGTATTTGCATACTTCCATCTACCTCTGCAGTGAATTGCAGCCTCTCAAATGCAGATTGCTTTCCAGACATGAACATTTTCTGCTCTGTGCTTAACTTTTGGCAGTGAGAGTATAATTTGTCTTTTTAATGAAGTTTTTCTTCAAGCCAATATAACTGTTACTTCTGTGATTGTGTTAATGGATTAAAAAAAAAGACTCGAAAATGTATATTTTCGTACATGGTACATTCAATATAGAAGATATCCTGAGTCATCATGAAAATGTTTTAAGGGGTTTTCGGAGAGTGCAGAGTTTAAATATTTGGTCCAATTTTTGCAAAATTTCATTCGTTGATAGATCACCATTTGATATTCACCTGTGAATGGAACAATTTGTTAGAGCTAATGTTAGAAAAATGCTGTCTAGTACTTGACCAAAGAAATTGTGTGATTTCATACCATCCAAGTATCGCAATAAACATGACAATGATAGGCTAAAATAACTAAACAGTTTATACAGCTTTTGTTTTAATGTTTGTTACATATAGTATTTGATTTTTATAACTACAAAGGTTATCTCAGGTAAGGGTTTATCACACAAAGTGACCAATCTAACACATTTTAAAAATTCTTTAAATTGTGTACTGTAGAGGAATATAGAATTTTAAAAATGTGTTAGATTGGTCAATTGGTGTGATAAACCCATACTTAAGAAAACCTTTGTAGTTATATAAATCAAATACTGTAAATGTAAAATAATAGAAGGGTTAGAAGTATGAAAATATCTAATAATCTTAATGTTTGTTCTTATTTTTTGCCTGAGCAATGCTGAGCTTATCTGCTAGTTTACCACTAATTTTAGAGATAAGGCTAAGTGTTTTAAATCTGGAAGACATTTATGAAGATTTATAATGTCCTAATATCAAATTTTTACATTTATATTGCCTTAAATATGAACAAATAGTAAAAAATAAATATTTTATATATATTACTCACTTCTTGTTTTGTTAATTTTTTATTTTACTTATTGCTGTTTGGTGCATATGACTTGTTAAATCCTTGTAGAATGTTTCAATAAATTTAAATTTTGTATTTTAAGTTCTATTATCAAAAGTATTTGCTTTAGTAATAAATTGTTACTTTCAGACTGGATTACTGGTTTTTTTCTTCTGCTTTTTTTTTCAGTATACAACTGTTTGTTCAGAGAGCACACTTTATGAATACATGTTTAATTATGTCTGTGAGAATCAAACAAGATAAATGAAAACAATCCAACAATGATCTCATCAGAACTCAGTATAAGTCAACTTTCTGACCTAAGAGAGTCAACTTACGCTTTCTCAGAGTTGATAGTGAACCTTAAGATACCTTTTGCAAAACTTTTAGTTGAGCAAAAGGTATTTTTATTCAAAGATGCAAATTCACCTCTGGGTAATTTGTACCTTTGAATATGATGAAGAACGGCCTATTTTAGTCAGTCTTCACCTGTTCTTCCTGTTGTTAGGATTAGTGTTTGTGCACCTTCCTATCCAGTTGTTGGAATTTCTATTTGTGTGCTTCTTCTGCATTTCTGCTTGGGTGCTATCCAATGTGGGATATATTGGCTGAATTCAAAGCTCTATCTCATTGAGAACTGTTTCTTTGTGCTTTCCAATGTGGGAAATATTTGTCACAACTCATAAGGCACCAAAATTTGTAAATGCTCTCTCTTCTCTCTCTCTCTCTATATGATGATAATACTCATAACTGTGAATACCGTTTTACTTAGATATTTAATATACTGTACGAACTTATCTAGTAAATGTTTAACTGTAGTTAATTGTGTTGAGTGACTTCTTCCAACTGAATCTCATCATTTCCTAATCCATCCTCTTGCCCCTAATCTCACATATGAGACTATATTATTGCCATTCACAAAAACCTGAAATTTCTTACACCAAGTAAAAATAACCTACTTGGTGTGAAAAATTTCATAATTACTTACATTCAATGATAAGAACTGAGGGCTTCCCCAATGTTTGTATCCTTGTCTTCACTCTTCAATTTTTGGGATGTTCCATTTTATCCTTAGCATAATATAAGCAGAATTACTATACTGCTTGAATATGCCTGTATTTTTATGTGAGTGAATCAGTGCTGACTAATCTAATAATGGTTTGATGATATGATATCCATCTAGTAATCAATCATATATCCAAAATAAATTGGTCTTTAGATCATAATCTAAAGAGCAGTCTTAATCAGGACAAATCTTACTGCATCATCAAACATTGCTGTTTTAAATAACAGTTTCTAAAACTAAAACATCTGAACAGATGGTAAATTATATTAATAAATTATTTCAAAAAATGATTTATAGCATTATTCTTACATTTAAATTCTATAAGTTGAAAATGAAATTTAATCAGTTTATAACATCATTTCTTTCTAAAACAAGTTAAAAAATCTTTAATATTTGAAAAATATATACAATGTCATTAACTAACATATATTAATCATTCATCCAAATCAGAATTCAGATTATTTTCTTTCTTCCTTCCTTTTTTCATTAGTTTCATGCTGAAAATAAAATTTTAAGTTTAATATTTATCATTAGGTAATGTTCTAGTTTTAAAGTTATTGGATATTTACCATTGTTTAGTAATAGTGCCATGTATCTTAATCACTCTTGGTCGAGTGTCTACTCCTGTAATTTCAAACAACAGATTTTTACCCAAAATAGCATATCTATTTAATTTTTTTGGATGAGGATGAGTTAATGTAATTGATGCATTAATGCCACCATGTACTAAGCATCCAATATGTGTTTCACTAATCCTATAAATAAAAAAATATACTTAAGCTATTTATGATAGTTTAAAATATTGTATTGAATAGCATTTAAAATTGTTTTACTTGCCGATTAATCGTTCCTTGCAATATAGCTCCCACAGAAGGCTGGAGTACATAGAAATCAACAATGACATCTTGGTGTATGCATGGTTGATCTGAAATAATTATACCTTGTGGTTGGGAAAATGTGATGTTTTTATAACCAATTACAATTCCATTCACTCTGAAAATAAATATTTCTATTCATTTTTAGATTTCTAAAGTTATTACAAACTATAAATATCTAAACTAATATTTCTAAGATATTACAAACTTTGATCACCTATCTTACACCTGTATACAATAAACACCAGTTTGTGAAACTCACAAATAAACTAACATTCAATATACTTTAAGAATATCTTATAAGCATATTGAATAAATTGAACACACTCTTTGAGAATGCAAACTTCTTGATATTTTATATGACACTAAGGTCTTATTGAAACTACACATACAATTTTTAACTTTGTTCACAAAACACAGCTAATCAATGATCATCAGATTGTACAAGGAAGAGTCAAAAAGTAAGTTGCAATTGACAAGAACTTTTTGTTGATAAATGATATTTAGTTGAAATCTGGTGGCAACACTGGTAATACTTCAGGCTACAAGGCATAGTACATTTGTTGATGTGACTACAGAGGTTAATCGTTTTAAAGTCATGAAACCTGTCATGTCCAAATTGGAAGTTCATGCAGAAACTTGTTTCTTGTGGGCAAAAAGGTGTGTAACCCCACTGAAATTCAACACCAGTTAAGGGATATATATGGTGAGAAAGCTTTTGTATGATAATGCAAACCTCATTCAGCAGACATCAGAAAGGTCTTACTGGAACAATTCAAATGGATTATATGGGAACATCCTCCCTACAGTCCAGACTTTGTGCATTTGGTCCAATGAAAAAGGATCTTTCAAATTGCTGATATGAGTCAGATGAAAACATCAAATGCAATGCGAAATTGGTTATCGCACGTTGGAAGGAAATACTTCCAAGTGTGGCATAGAAAAACTTGCACCACACTATGATAAATGTTTAAATAAACTTGGTGATTATGTCAAAAAGTAGCACTCGGATTGTATATTCACACAAATAAAAATTTTTGACTCCTATGTTTCATACTTGTATTTTTAATACAAGTGCAACTTACTTTTTGAATTACCCTTATAGATATTAATTTTGAAATCATTCTGAGAATAAAGTGTTTCCTATCTGAAGCACTTCTGCCCATGTGACAAATGATTGATGTAAATTTCCAAAATAGTATATAATACAATTAGAAATTAAAAAGCAGTTTGTTATAATGACAAACTATTTTAAATGTATGTAGGTCTAATGAAATTTACTCAAATGTCATGAATTATCAATTATATCATCATATTACAAATGTACAGTACTTGTTAAAAAAAATTCTTTTACCAGAACAAATACCTATTGAAGTAATACTTGAAGTAATATGAATATTTATATTAATTCAATTAAATGTATATAGTCCTATCACTTTCTATTATTATTAAATCTGGTGAAAGTCTCAGTCTCAGAATCATTAGTTTAATGAATAAATCAAATTTGGTTATAATAATCACACAATTAAAATATAACCATGAATATTTGCATGAAAATATGTTCTAACCTAAAACAAAATAAGTTTATAATTATTGAAGAAAATCTTTGTTATAAGGAATATAATAAAAATTTGCTTCTTCAAGAATATAAAAAACAAATTTTTATCCTGTGTAGAGCCCAGTCAAGATTCATGGTTTACTCAATTACAGCTTGTTTCATCTACTGAGTTAAAACAATCTTTAAAAATCCAGGATGAAATTTATTTGTATTTAGTCTTCAATTTTTTTAAAATATAAGTTTGATGTCTTCTCACATCCCTTAAACAACATGAGCACAATACAACAGACATGATCTTTCTTTGAGGCTCTTCCCTGCTTACGAACATGTAAAAGGATTCCTTGTTGATCTGTTTTCATATATTTTAATATAAAATGTACAGTATCACTGTGGTTTACTGCATATTAAATTACAAGCAAATATATGTTTTGTACCACTATTAGAAATTAAACATTTTTGTTGCATTACTATTTACATAGCTTTTCATATTAAATGTTTACAGTTTCAACTGCAGTTTGAAATATTTAATATCATATAAAAAACAAAGGATTGATGGGTAAATAGCTGTTTTGGAGAGTTTTTAAGTGACAATAAGGGAAACTAGTTGGACGTATTCAGATATTCTGCAAACACATTAGAATTTTTTCCATAAAAAAAAATAACGGAAAGTTTTCAAATATCAGATATTCAGATAGTGAGATCATTTCAGGAATGTATTATATTCAGATAATAGGATATGGCTGTATATAAAAAAGTACTGTAATTTCCTGTGTATTATTTGAATTTGTAGTAGAATTGCCAGACATGGTTTTGATAGCATGAAATGCTAGGGATACTAACACCTGGATTGGCAAAAAGGACAAAACCAACACTTTCTATAACAAATAAATTTATAATACATATAGGTACATTCCAATCACAACTGAATTATCTATATTTTAAGAAAAAGTTAAATTTACAGCAAATATAATCAACAAAATACTGTTCATAAATTAAAATTGTGAACAGTATTTTGTTGTTTAATCTTTGTTTAACAGTATTAATATATAACCATCACTAATTATGCATTTATATGAACTTTGTATAAGTAAAACAATCATCTATGATGATGATAAACTAACATTCATGATTATATGACAGTTGCTGCTAATATTACTGTAAGTCTTATACTCCCAAAAGAGTAATGAGATAAAAACAAGCGATGCCACTTATTAAAAATAAACAAAAATATAAAAAACTGTCTACTGACATTATGTTTAATTAATGAGTATGAGCACTTTCGACAGTATATAAATATAATTCAGGTTATACAAGAATCAAAAGCTATTAACAGGCAAGGTATGTTTTCAATCCAAAATGAAAAAGCATTGGTAAAAAACATACCAATCTCTTATTTTAAATTTTTATTATTTTGTAATAAAAATTTTTGTTACACAATTTTGATAAAAGTATTATCTGTGATAATTTTTGATAAAAATGTGATCTTTACAATATTTTTGTTAATGTTACGAGAAAAAATACCGTATTTACTCGCATATAAGACAAAGTTTTTATTCATTTATCACAGCTTCAAATTCCTAGGTTGTCCTACACGTGCAAGCAATATTCTTTGTGTTTTTGCAAATAATTTTTGTGAACCATTTATTGGCATTTTTTACTAGATGCTTACCCTCTTATATTTAAAAACATAAGTATTTTATCTGGGTTGTTTGAATCGTTCTTGTATATTGTCAGGATTAAAGATGAATAGCAATAGAAAAAGTAAAGCTTTTGAACTGAATTCCAGATTGAAATTCCAAAATCACACGGGAGCCCGATATAAGTTTTAATCCATTTCCATGTGAAAACAGATGATTATTCGGAAAAATTCGTAAGTGTAATCGGCAGAGAATGGATTCAACTGTTAAGAATTGGCAAAAAAGGTTTCCGATTGTCCAGCTTTACATGAACAAATTTTACAAGATTTTTCCTTAAAGTTTAAAATGCCAGTAATTTCTGCAGGTCAATGTGTGCATTTACGTGCATTTGATATTTTACTTGTGATTAAACAAAATAAAATTAGAATTGTATTAATAAATCTAATTTTCTTTATTTTAATCTTTAAAGTCACACCTCGTCCTACATGTGAGGTTCTTATATGCGGGTAAATACGGTAATCTCAGTAATATCTTTATGATCAATATGTCTGTAATAATTATGTTATGATACTACTCTAATATCCTTTTCTTAAAATAAAAAATTTTTTTTAAACTCTTGTTTTATATAGTTTTTAATGGTTTATATCATAACCACGTGGTTTGATTACTGACAGGTGGCGATTGTTCTAATAAAAATTTATACTGCAAGTCTTAGAAATCTGTTCAGTTGTAGACGGAATGTGTTTATTTACAAAATAACATCATTTTAATTATCTACAAATTATAATAAACTCACTGTTTCTTATAACGATTCTTCCAATCGTCCAGAACCGCTTTGACTCCATTCAACTCATTGCCTATAAAAGAAGGTAACATAATAATATGGACGTCTTTCTTTACACATCTGATGCAAGAAAATTCGTCATTTAAAAGTTTTTCCATCTCTGCTAATGACATTTCTGTAGGACGTATATTTTCGATCTTAGACATTTTGTACGATTACTTGCTTGCTTGCTTGCCTGCCGCCCTCTGGCGGTGAAGTTAGGCGTTAGCTGCTTTGGCTATTTCGCCCCGTGTAGTAGTTATTCCAGGTGAGTGGAGTTGGGTTGTGAAACAGATGGTGATCTACAGTTGAAAAACTTGAAAAGACTAGAAGAGACGATTGGAAAAATCAGTACACATGTCGGGGTGGATGAGTTGACTGTTAGTCGACCGTTGGCAGTTAAAAGGAGTGATGAGGAAAGTCAAAATGATTTAGTAGTTGTAGGTATTTTTGTATTCATTAAAAAAGGTCGATAAGGATTGGAGACAAACGTCTTTCGGGTATAATTGGAGGCAGTCGCTGATGTTGAGAAGATGACAGCCATCGGACGGAAAAATTCAACAAAAAGATGATTTTTTGTTAGACTGTTGTTGGAGAGGATTCTACCCCTGACGTCGTCAAATTTTGAGCACTCGTTGAGGCGGTGTATGGTTGTATCAGTTTTATTTGGGCAGTATTTGCACTGGTTAGTGGTGCAGATGTTGCGGGTATAAAGAAAGTGGTTAGTAAGCAACGAGTTTGTTCTAGCGCGATTAATGAGGACGTTGATACGGCGGTCCGTGATGTCAGGAATAGAGATATCTGATGTGTTAGAGAGCCAAGGGTAGAGAGATTTTTTGGGGTAGGTGTTCCATTTGTTGTTCATATATTTCTCGTTGTCGGACTTGATGAGAGAGTTGAGGTCTTCGGCAGTAATATAGTGGGTAATGGTAGAGTTGGGGGGTTGGTTTTGGCGAGTTTGTCCGCTTGTTCGTTGATGGGGATGCCTTTATGAGCCGGGGTCCAGATAAGCTTGGTCTGAAGGTTAAGGATATGCCTTTGGTTGAGGATGGTGTTAATGGTTTGGATTAAGGTAGAGGACTTCTCATGTTGAGCGTGGAGAGCCTTAAGAACCGATTTCGAGTCCGAACAAATGATGGCATCTTCCTTTTTGTGGGTAACATGATGGATTGCCTGAAGGATTGCGTATCCTTCCGCAGTGAAAATCGTGGCCTCAGGGTGGAGAGAGAAGTGGGCCGTGATGTTGCCTTTTTTGTCAATAAAAGCCGCTGTCACGGTGTTGGAGGTTTTCGACCCATCAGTGGCAACGATGGTGTTGATATTTTGCTGCTCCTCCCATTCTTTAAAGGACTGTTGGATGAAAATGTCTGGGAGATTGGAATTTTGGAAGGCAAGGTCGTCGAGATGGATGTTGTGGATGGAGGCGTTGGTGATGCTGGACGGCTTTAACGGAAGATTGGATGGTTGAATGTTATGCAGGAGAAGCCATGAGCGGGTGAAGTGAATGAACGGAATCTTGACAAGAGAGGCGCCAGAATTGTTGTGTATGTTCTGAATCATGGAGTGGAAAAGGAGGTCAGAGGTAGCTTTCTTGACGTAGGTGCAGTATTGTTTAATGATGCATTTGTGGAAGCGGCATTCGAGGGAGGTTTTATTTGCGGCGCGGAGTGTAACGGTGTTGTTAGTAGAGATGGGAAGACCCAGGCTGTGTTTGATGTATTGGGTTTGGATGGACTCTAAGGTGTGGCGCTGTGTCTTGGTGAGAGTGGCAATACTGGGGATGGTGTATGTAATAATACTACCAATGGTGCTGTTAGCAATGCAGAGGATGTCAGTCGGGTGGCCGCCTGTATTCTTATTGCAGAAGATTTTGAAAATGTTAAGAAGTTTCCTGCATTTGTTGTGGATGTATTGAACGTGTGTATTCCAAGAGAGATTAGCAGTGATAAAAATGCCAAGAGTTTTTATTTTGTTCACCTCGGGGATGATCTGGCCTTGGAGAGAAATGTCCTGGTTGTTATGGATGTTGATAGGGATGCGGAGAATAGCACATTTTTGTGGTTGAAACCTGATATCGTTGATGCTGGCCCAATTCTCAAGGGAGTGGATGAAGTGGGCAGTGCTATGTCGTAAATTGGTGGGATTGTTCTCGTGAATGATGACAGTGATGTCGTCGGCGTAGACGTAGAGAAGTGTGTGATTGTTTTCGAGTTTAAAAATATCGCTCATAAAGAGAGCAAAAAGGAATGGCGAGACAACGCTGCCTTGAGGAATACCTCTGCATTGGGTGAGTTCTGAAGAGGTATGACCTCTCCATTTGACCATAACCTGTCTGTTATGTAAGAAATTATTTAACCAAATGAGGGAGTTGCCTTTGAGACCTTTGGCAATCGCTTTGCAGAGGATGTGGTGATGTTTGACAGAGTCGAAGGCTTTGTGTATGTCGAGGGTGAGGATGTTGAGGAATTGGCTTCTATGACGTAGAGTGTAAATCTGGATCATCATGTGGGTGAGGAGGTCTCTTGTCCCCTTGACCGGGAGACCACCAAAGTGTTTATAGTTAAACCATTGTTGTTGATGGGCAAGGTTATGCCAACGTTTGATGATCATGCGTTCGAAGGTTTTAGAGATTGTTGATGTCAAGGCAATCGGGCGATAATTGGCGACGTTCGTCGTGTCTTTACCTGGTTTGCCTATGGGGATGATGATTGTTTTGTTCATTTGGTAGGGGATGGAGCCTGTTGTCCAGATGTTATTGTAGATGCTGAGTAAATGGCGTTTGGCCCGGTTGTTGAAAGCTTTGAGATTCTTCATGGTGATGCCATCTAAATCAGGGGATGTGTTCCTCCCTTTTTTAAGGCGCAGTTGAGTTCGCGTTCGGTGTTTGGACTGTTGAAAGCATCTATAGGATGTCTGTGTTGGTGGGAGTGCGAATTTGTATAGGTTGCATCTGAGTTTATGGGTTAAAGTAATGGTTGAAAATTCGGCTTGATGGTTAGGGTCGGTGATATACTGTTCGTCTTGTTTGATAATGAGACGATGATTTTGGGGATTGTCTTTTGTGCGTAGAAGGTGAATAATTTTCCATAAATTATTCTTGTAGTTTGGGGAAGTAGAAAGATTCTTTCAGAAAGTGCGTTTTGAGCAAGGATTGTGTGTTGTAGATCTGCTGTCGCTTCTTTGGCACGTATCCAGTTTTCGCGGTTAGTATGTCTGTGGAAGCGGTGGAATGCTTGTCTTTTTTGTTTTTTTTTTGTTTTTTTTTTTTTTTTTTTTTTTTGTTTTTGTTTTTTGTTTTTTTTGCCAATTTTCGTTGGCATTCTTTATTCCACCACGGAGGGTTGGGACTTTGTTGAAGTAAATTGCGATTGTTAAGGGTATATGAGTTCTTTGTATTTGTTGATGAAATCATTGTAAGTCCAGTCGGGTTGTGAGTTGCCCAGGAGATGAAAATTTGTGTTAGGTTAGTGTAGGTGCTAGTGTGTGTATAGTTATTGGCTTTCTGATTGCCCGTCCTGATATTGGTAATGTCAGTTTCAATCATGCGATGGTGGCTGCCGCAGAAAATGGGCAAGGGGTTCCAGTTCGCGTGTGTAGCAATGTCGTTTGTTACAAGAATGATGTCAATGGCCGTGTTACCGTTTGGATTGTAGTATGTAAATTGACCATCGTTTAGGAGTATATTTTATCAGTTGTAAGTTACTTTGCAATAATTCGATCTCTAACATCCGTCGCGGAGTTCCTCCACATGGTATTGTGGACATTAAAGTCGCCACTAATAATGGTAGAGGAGTGGTCGTTCCTGCTAAGAATACTTTCAATGAGGTGGTTGCTAGCTTGTGGAGGGAAGTATGCGTTTATGATTCTGATGCGTTTTTGCAGGTGGATGTCAGTGATAATTCATTCGGGCCGGCCCTGCCCGTTGGCCGTCTTTTTCAATAAGGGACATCGGGATGTGGCATGTGGCGCTTGATTTATGTAATAAGGCCACCGCCTGGGCAGCCTGTTCTGTAGTTGTAGTATGAAATAAACTGAGGTATGTCATATGTTTTAGGGTGGGTAAGCCAACTTTCTTGTACCAGGATGATGTCATATTGCTGCCATATGTTTTCTGCCTTAATTTGCTGAATTTTGTTGGTGATACTATTCGCATTCCATTGGAGTATTTTCATGGCTGTTTAGAGGGGGGAGAGTAAGCTAGTGTTGTGTGGCTAGAAGGTTATGGGTTGGAGTTGAGAGTTACTCCTGTTTTTTGTTTGTTAGTCGTTTAGTCTTCCGTCTCAAGTTGTTCTTTGCGTTCACGTCTTGTCTTTTGGACAGTTTTTGTCTATTTGTTCGTTGTGATTCGTATCTCGAGTTTTGGTGGTGTTATTATTGCGGTATTTGGTCGGGGGTTCGTTTTTGAGGTTTGTTTGTTGCTCTTGGGTATGTGTATCTTGGGTATTTTGTTGGTGTTCGTTAGAATTCGTTTTTGATGTGTTCATTTCGTCTGTTTGTTTATTTTTCGTGGTTTGGGCAAGTGGGCAGTTGGTGCGTTGTTTGTCTTGGGAGTCTTCTCTCTGGAGTCAAGAGAACTTGCGATGTCCGAGTCAGAAGTTGACAATTGCAAAAATTGTTCCAGCGTGAGAAATTGCAACTCAAAGTAGGTATAATTTACCAAAATCTTTTCTCGACCACCCAGTCTTACAAGCGTAAACACAAATATCATCACGACTCTGCGCGGGAAAACCTCATCACGAGGACTATCGAATCTCACCGGAAGTCATGGAAGCGACCCCAATGGGTGCTGACAACTTAACTTCCTTTCCAAAAGACTATTGGTCCTGGAATTAAGAACCAGATTCCGACAAACACCTCAAATGGATTCGGGACTATTCCATTCATTTGAACAACCCTACCTGCAAAATTAACCTCATACACCAATCCGAAACTAACCTAACAGCCCCAAAAATCTATAAACACTTCAAAACCATTATTAGGAATCCACACAACAACATCAGAAATATAACCATCATCAAGATCAGACAAATCTATGTTACTATCAAACAACCTTGCCTTTCTGAAATCCTAACCATGACACACATAAACTGAACCCCATCAAAAACATACTAATCAAAGAATCTTACACAAAGAGTGTAATCATCAAAGGAGTTCCCACAGACTATGAGACAAGAAATTTACACCCAATTAAAAGAAGATGGATTCTTCCCATTCAACGTAACAAGATTCAAACGCAAACAGGACCAACAACTCCCCACCAAAACTGTCAAAATAACCATGGTTGCTAGTTTTATCCCTGATAGACTCCGCATCTTCTTTACATTATACCGCACTAAAAATACCATGAACGTCCCAGACTCTGCCTCAGTTGCGGCAAATATGGGCACACCCAACCATATTGCAAGGGAAACAAAAGACGCAAACAATGCGGACTACCACACGACGAATACGAATAATTGCTCCGGGGACCATTCATTCACTTCCCCCAAATGCCCGGATTACATAAAAGCCCAGTCAATAATATAATACCAATGTCAGCACAATTGCTCAAACCTAGAAGCGTACGACTCGATCACTTGGTACATTTAGGGCCATCTGCAATTTTGGAATATTTTCATTTATTTATTTAGCATTATTTGCATTCACACAGATTATGTATCAATCTCATTATTGTTTACATTTTTTATCTTTATAATAAATGGCATTGCAATTTTATTATTACTAAGTTTGTTATTATCAGAGAATTAGTGTTTCATTTTATTTATTTTCACTCTCCACTCTATTGTCATCTACCATTTTTATTCTTCCGCCCTGTGAACAGTAAGATGGCCTGATTTCCGAATCCATCATGATTTTCCATAATGGGAAGGTAGGGCGTGAGAAATGAGCCCCGAACACCCCCTGAAAAATTTCTGAGGTTTTTCGACCATCCAGATTCTCTGGTTACCCAGAGTGGAATGCCTGAACCGCATTCGGCCTTTAGCTGGGTCTTTTTAACTCTTTCCGCCCTGTGGGCACTAAGATGGCCTCTTTTAGCAAGCTCATTATGGGTTCGGCCAGACCCACAATGGGACGGTCGAGTAGTGGCCTTTAGCTGGTGTCCATGGTTGGAAAGTCAGGCCCACCGCTGCTTTTCGGTCGTAGAAACCAGTAATTTTGTTTGATGGTAAATAATACTTGTAAATTCTCGTGAATTTGTATTTCGCTTTTCTTCCAACGCACAGTGGGGCCGAATCCCAAAAAGCTGGCCAAAAGTCAAAAGCGTTATCAATTTGGCTGAAAGTCAGTATTCGAAGGTTTTCGGGATCGCTGATTACGAATCCGAAGTCAAAATTTGAAATAAAAACAAAACGACGGATTTAACACGAACCACTTTCATTGAAAAAGTACAAAATAAATCCATATATTGTTTAATACGATGAAACATACAATCAGTTGATTAAAAGTTCATGCATCGTCATCCAAAGAATAATTTGATTCACAATCAGATGATTCAACTTTGAAATCGCTGGAGCTTCCTGTACTTGCTGGTATACGTGGCACAACTAACAATAAAACTGCTTCTGGAAGCAATGACTTTGAGTTTTTTCGAGGTAATTCTCACAAACTCGAAATAAACGGATCGGATATTAATAATAGGTGTAAAATAATGTCTTCCACTGTTTTCACTCGGGAACTTTTCTTGCAAAATTTTCTCGAAACTTTTTAATGTATTTATTAGTAGACTCTTAAGCGTCTTCAGACATCTGCCCTGTCGGTAATACCGATGAATTTATCACTTCTGCACCATGAATCAATATCTTATGTGCCGAAATTGGCATGCAGAACCACGGTTATAACTGCACAAAGTAACGAGTTGTCTGTAAGGCATAATCTTGAAATTCTATGTAATCGATTTCGTGGCCACACGAAATTGTCTGCAATATGACATGGAAACGCTTAATCGAGTCCTCATCAACCCCTGTAATAGCAGCAGAAATGCTTGAGTTTTCGAAAAATCGTCGAGCGGTATTCTCATCATTTGAGCTAACGAAAACAGGCTTTGGTTGATCGACTATTAGACCCAATTCTATACGGAAACCCTTCTGTATATTCGTTTTTCAGAATCTTATTTCTTTATTTTCTTTATCACTATGCGCTTGCCACAGTTTGATTTCAAGCTTATATGCTACATGCAAACAATATTCAAAACACCAGACAAATTCAAGAAAAAGAGCAAAACATTCCGCGTCATTAATGTACAAAATTCAGAAAACTATGTTTACATTGCAGGAACTTGCACCAATGACACAGTTGCAGCTAGTTGCAGCTAGTTTTAATTTTTTTCATTCAATAATA